GAACAGAAGAGTGCTTCAAAGACGAAGGTAGAAAAAAGGTGAGGTGAGTACTGTGAAAGTAGTCAAATATAACATACAGTGGGGTGAGGGTAGTTTGAAGTCAGAAGTCAACTGCCAGTTAACAGACTTTTTTGCCGTATGAATATACGTTGCCCAGGGTGCACCATGTGAAGGTAAGTCTATCGCACACCCCGGTCTTTTAATAGTAGGTTTATAGGTTTGTGACCTGAGAAACAGAGTGGCAATTATTGTGAGACAAAATAAATTAGTCTACTTTTTAAGTTCACTATGTTCACTATTGCTATGACTCATTCTTAAAAGTTCACCCAGGCAAAGAAATATCATTTTGATGCAATTATTGCAAAACAAATGTCCTTTCATTGTCTTGCATATGAAATGTCACCTTCATGAGTCGTTCAGCTGTGTATTTGGGTGTGTGTGTGTGTGTGTGTGTGTGTGTGTGTGTGTGTACTAATCGCTCATTTCCAGACTCTGATACTTGGTATTGGAGAGAAATTCGCTGTCTCATTGCTAGCTACCAAGAAACCTTGATTCAGAAAAGAAATCAATACCGCTTTCCAGTGCCCAAGTTAGAGAGTCAAAAGAGTTATTACGCTAGAAAATATCTATTGATTAATGGCCAAAATACTGAATACAGATGGGAAGACTTATGAGGCGTAGACTTTGGCAGATAGCTCACTGAAAGCGGGTTGTATTAGCATTTAATTCTAAAAGAAAAAAATTAACTTAATTTAATTTCATAATTTTTTTGGGAAAATCTATTAATTGCCTAATTTGACAAAAAAACCATGTGCTTTGCATAAACTTTTTAAGGAGTTACAAAATGGGGTACCATACACCCTAAAAATTGAAAATACTAAAACAACTCACTGGTGAGTTTTCATTCAATGGAAATCGAGATTTTGTCGATATCTGCTCAACATTTTCTGCACTAATATCCTTAATCGAAGATCTAGACTGGTTGGTGACATTTTCTTTCTCAAATTTGACTCCAGTTGAGCTGGGACCGGGAACATCTCCCTTTGTACTATCTCCTGCTGGTGGGTAGGTAGACTTTTTGATTGGGAAATTCAGTTGTTTTAAAGTTGAAACCGACTCCTTAATCGAAGTAGATAGCTTTGGTTGATTAGTCTGGAAATCACCGGAAGGGTATTTGGTATTGGGTCTGCAAATTGTGAAATCCAGGCGTTTTACAGCACTGGATTTTATCGACTTCTTGGAGTGAATATGTCGATGACCACGTAAATAGAAGGAGGGGACGTACGTTTTAGAAGGGTCTAGCTCCTCCCAAGTCGATTTGTCACCATATTTATTACAGAAATTTTCAAAAATTTGATCGCAGATGTTCTGAAGCTCCTCTTCAAGTGAAGGTCTTGACGGTCGATTCATTTGCTCTATTATGATCATAGATTTGTTCAATTGCTTCTTACACTATCTTTGCATGCAATTATGTGAGACCTTTAATTTTACTGGATAATTTCATGACCTTACAAAACAGCAATTAATCAATGAGTTCATGTGGCAAATCGCGTTTGGTTGGAGCATATATTTCCTGTAATTACAATGGCTTCTGAAGTTAAGCTGCAGATTAAACTGTGCTCAGAGCATATGTGAATTATTTTTCCGCAGCATTACAATCAACACTTTAATTAAGTTTTGTTAAACGATTATAAGTCAGATAGAAGACAGTGATTAAAGAGAACTCAAGGCTTCTTTGTGAGTTCCTCATTTAGCCAACTGGAAAAAGTGATTCTATAGCAAATATTTATTTATATCAAATGGCAGGCATTATGATAGTTATCACTAGCCCTTTAGTTGACTTCAGGCTTCACAGAGGGGAAGGAACATCAAAGAGAAAAAAAGTCGAGATGGTGGGGAGGGGGGAACAGAAGACTGATTCAGAGATGTAAAAGAGACGGACACAAAGGAAGGAAAAAAGTGAGGTGAGTAC